CGTGGGCAGTGTGTTTTACAGGTGACTCAGAAGAAACACATCGTAAACAAATGGATTGGGTTGAGGGGACCAATCACCATTGGATTTGGGAGTTGGAAGTTGCTGCTGTGAATGCTGCTCCAGTTTGAGACACAGAGATGTCCTATGAAGTGTCTCTTGTCCCTTGAAGAAGAAGGTTCACGTGAAAGCACAGCTTGCTTTTGTACAGCAATTCCTTTTGTGTCTTTTTATCATCGTCTGCATATTGTGCTACTCACATTGAACTCATATGACTTCAAGATCATGTTCGAGTAATCTACTGTTGATTCTCTTGGAGAACATAGTTGGTGTTAGCAAGAGATTTACAGAAACCAACATCAAATGCTACATTGGATATGTTTACGATTCAATGAATCTTCTTCTTCTACAAAATGGAACTCTCATGAACATCGAAGCCGTCTGATGTCACCTTTACGTGAATAGACCTCTCTCTCGCCTTTCCGTGAAGTCTCATGTGATGTCTGTGCAAAGGAACTGACGGCAATTACGCTGACTGAAAAGAGGTCGAAGGAGTCAGGACTGTTTCCACACGCAAGCCTAAGACATTAAAAGCAGCGAGACTCGCCCAGGTGATGAGACCAGACACCGAACACTCTGCATCTTGGGATTCCATGGTGATGAGAACATTCTGAGCATAATCATTCATGATTCATTCCACCAGCATTTTCTTGTTCTTCTTCGAGATCAAATCTGAACTCAGGACACACACCACATTGGCTCAAATGAAATTGGTGGGTTGACAGGAAAAGCTGAACTTTGATTAATGTAGAAGATGCAGCGCGGAATCGTTGGCCTCAACAGGATGGTATTCTCAAGTGCATCTGTGCACAGAAGTTGAGGCAAGTCTTCTTCGTTGTACTGAGATAGAAAGCAGCAAATAATTGAGTATGATATGAGCAAACTTTACTGTTCTATGTTACTATTATTCGTTCTACTTTTGATGAAAGAAGCTTCATATCATCTTGCGAAGGAAAAAATAAATGTCCACTGCCGAAAAAAAGTATTCGGATTAGATATTGGTCTTTCAAATAATCTCGAGTCAGCATGATGTTTGATGTCGTATCAATCAAGCCATCTAAGTCGTGATGATAAGATTCGGTAATTTATTATACACGTCGTTTTCTTAGCGACGAGCGGAAAAGGAAGACGCCATCGGGTTTGGAATTACCGTTGGCCAATGAATAATAATTAGGAATATATATTAGGCTCTTCGTCACCCAACAACGGTGTCCAGAGCATGTATCGTATCATGCACCGCATCATAGTTGTGGTGGTTCTACTATGGAGGAGTCGGGTCACCGCCGACCCGCAGACCACGCTCCTTAACGCCGGCTGCAGTCAGTATAACGCAAGCGGCAACGCCGCCTTCGTCGCCACTCTCAACGAGACCCTCGCGGACCTGCGCTCCTCCCTCTCTTCCGCGGCCGCCGGCACCTCCGCCGCTAGCTTCGCCACCGCGCAGCGCCCCCGCGCCGCCGACCCCGTCTACGCGCTCTTCCAGTGCCGCGCTTACCTCTCCTCCGCCGACTGCCTCGCTTGCCTCTCCGTCGCCGAGGCCCGTATCCGAAGATGCGGCAACGCCAACGGCGCCCGCGTCATCTACGACGGGTGCGTCCTCCGCTACGAGAGCTCTACCTTCTTCGACCAGACTACGCTCCCCGGTAACGCTGGCGTCTGCAACGGCAGCGCTGCGTCCGACGCGGGGTTCTCCGAGGCGGCGAAGGCGCTGGTGAGGGACCTGACCAGCGCCACGCCGAGGGTCTCGGGGTTCTTCGCGGCGGCGGAGAGGGATGGGGTCTTCGCCGTGGCGCAGTGCGTGGAGACGGTGAACGAGGAGGGCTGCGCCCAGTGCCTCACGGTGGCGGACGCGAACATCGAGAGTTGCCCACCGGACACCGACGGGCGGTCGGTGGACGCCGGGTGCTTCATGAGGTACTCCAGCAAGTCCTTCTTCCCGGCCAACCAAACCGTGGATCTCTCCCAGTTCTTGAGTTCAGGTGAGCGAGTCCGCAGTGAAACGGTGCATCATGGGAAACGCATCTAATTCTTTAGGAACCACACGGGAAATTTGTCTTTACTCGGTGACCTAAGAGAGCATTTCTTGATGTGGATGTGATGGTGGAACAGGGAAGTCAAACAAGAAGGGAGCCATAATTGGAGGAGTTGTTGGAGGAATCTGTGGTTTGTTGCTTCTAGCGATCGTAGCACTCCTGTGGATCAAAAGATCCCGAAGACGCCAAGGGTTTCGAACAGGTTTGTGAATCTGATCTATTAATCTGTCATCCTAAGAATTTTGTTTTCTGAGAATTAGATATAGCTTTTTCATTTTTTTTGTATGATAAGGCCAAAACGACTCGTCACTGAACAATGATGGGTTTCTAAATTGTGTTAGCTTACTATTATTGAATGATTGGCATGATCAACGATCGCTTTTCAGCTTGCAATTATTTATTTCATTGATGATCAATTCATTTGGTCAATGTTGTGATCTTCTTTAACTTGCATTTAGTATTTCCTTAAGTCAATGCAACAACAACAATAACAATACCGTAAGTCTCAATTATTTTTTTAAGTCAATATTATAATAAATTTACCTTTTTTTTAATTTGAAAATGCATCTGGAATGTGACTGAATTGTTCTAGATGAAAAATACTAAGAACCTAGAGGTTTCGTCGACAATCTAAAGGGGGGACTCATTGCACGATGCTGCCCGTAATGTTGGATATAGGAGGGTCAATATTTAAAGCCAGAACAGAGGAACAAGAAACTATAAATTTAAAGGCTTGATTAAGAATATAAAGCGTGAAGTCAATGTACTAGGACTGGTTAAGAATTTGCTGAAAGAAATAATTTAATGAAAATTTTCTTACTAAATTCCAGATTTTTTTTTTAATGTCATGCTTCCATATGGACAGCCGTCATCAATAATGACAAATTTGGTTTCAATGGTCAATTATGTCATTTTATTCCTTAAATAACGTTGTTTGCTGGTTCTGATCTTGTGTAGGTCATAGTTGTTAAAATTGGTATGGACCACTGGACGCCGAAATTTGACTTATTATATATATGTCAACTTTGTCAGTTTCCCTTTACTTCTTGTATAGTCATTTGAGATATACTATGATTGTTCTGATATGATGAGAGCAAATCAAAACTAGGGGAAAGAATATGGAAAGAACTATTTGATCGAGACAGCCATGATAAATTGTATGGATCATTTGACCTGTAATGTGGCTTATTATATGTATGCCATCTTTGTCATTTTCTTCCTTTACTCCTTGTATAGTCATTTTGGATATACCATGATTGTTCTGATAGGAGAAGACCAAATCAAACCTAAGAGAAAGGATATGGAAAGAACTATTTGATTGAGACAGCCAATAACTTGCAAGGCTGTCACTTGTTACATAGTAATCATAGATAGTCCTACAAGCTCAACTGACCACGGATAGTCCTACTTGCAGAGTTGTCTTAAAGTTGTAGGGTGTCATTGTGGTTGGATATGGCATGTTCCAACTTATCTTTTTTCAAGGATATCGCATGATTCTAAGTTTTGACTTCTGTACAATTTTTTGTTACAACTAATCTAATTCTAAAAATTTACATTTTGTGCCAATATGAAATGAGGTATTCGTAAAGATGCTCAAAGCGCTTGTAAGAATCCACATGCAGTTTTTATATCATGCAGCTATAATCCAATTTACGGATACCTGTAAGGAACAGCATGAAACTTATTAGATAGTCTGCAAAGCAATTTAAAGAATTTTGATCAATCACATTTAACAATATCTTATCACTTCCTGCTAAACATTTTTAACTGATGTCATATTCTGGTACTTTGCTTTTCGAAGTACATTCACATGAGAACATCTTTGTGCAGGAGATTTATTAGGGGCAACAGAATTACAGGGTCCACTAAATTTCCATTACAAGGATCTAAAAGCTGCTACAAATAATTTCAGTGAAGAAAATAAACTAGGAGAAGGAGGGTTTGGAGATGTATACAAGGTGAGATTACTAAATGTTTAAAATGTTGCTTTTGTAAACTGTATGGCATTTCCTTAGAACTGAAATTTTGAGAAAAAAATATAAGATTTCCTTGTATTAAAATAGCAAGAACCTAGATGTTACAGATTTATGTTGTATAATTTGACGAAATAAAGTCAGGTGTGCTGAAAGGTAAAATTTTCACAGGGTACACTGAAAAATGGTAAAACGGTTGCCGTCAAGCGATTGGCAATTGCACAAATCAGCAGGGCAAAGGCAGATTTTCAGAGTGAGGTGAAGCTTATTAGCAATGTTCATCACAGAAATTTAGTTCGCTTGCTTGGATGTTCTAGCAAAGGCCAAGATTTGCTTCTTGTCTATGAGTACATGGCAAATAGCAGTCTTAATAAGTTCATATTTGGTAATTTTTTCCCTAAACTTAGCCCTCTATCAATCTATATCTTGCTTTCAATTTGTATGCTTAATTGTTAGATGTATCCTGTTGATGCATTCTCATTATATCTCAACCTCTTTTTCTCAATCTGACTAGAACTACATTTTGGTAAATTCATACACCGCTCCTTCAGTAATCAACTGCATAGCTCCTTTAAGTAGATTCAAGTATTAACTGGTTACATATTTTGACTGACTTTTTTTGTTAAAAGAAATAGGTAAATGATCCAACCAAATAAAATCTCAATTTGACTTGGAGTAAGCCTCTCCAAGCATAGAAAACATGACCAGATCTAGTAGGATTGGCTAACCATTAATAAATCCCAAATGTGTTCCTTGAGGACTATAAAGAAAGACTAAAATGACTGGAAGTTTCTAAAATTTATTAATTTGTATAATGCCAAGGCAAATGCAGAAAATTACAAGACCTTGTACATTTCCCTTGAAATTTAATTGCCATAATCTAGTTTCTAATTCTCTCAAATCTAACCTATTCCAAACCTATACCGGATCAAGGACCGCAGACTAAATTGGCATAATCATAATCTCATCAACTTGAGCGCAAGAAATTGCTACAATTTGACCAGAGATATATGGCATTGCAGCAGAGACATGTCTGAAGACTCCATAGAGCAGAAAATACACAGGTTCAGACTTTAATGCAGACTGAGAGTGAGACAAAAGACAGTATCTTGTCTTGGCCTTGTGCTTGTCATGTATAGCGAAGTAATACTGTTGTACTGGAATTCTATACTGTTGCTTCACAACATGCTCAGCACCATGGCATCACTTGCCTATTGCTTTCAAAGGCAAGATGCATCGATAAGTTTTACATTAACACGTTTTGCAAAATTTCATGACTATCAATTTGACATGCATTGTATGTCATGATGCTTCTATCAGATAATTATTTTAATTGTACGTAAGTGTGTTTGTTCTGGCCTTTCTAAGATATGTTGATCGGTGTTTTCGTCAGCAAGAATCAGGTGACATATTACTTATGCCAACCAATTGCTTTTACATATGTATACTGTGATAAGAACTGCATGTTCCGTGTATTGGTATTGGCATGGCAGCTCCGGGATTAAATTGGTTTTAATATGCCAAATTATCAACTGAAGGAACTAATATCTATTTTGCTTCCATGCTCATCAAGTATAACGTGAACCTATCTTACAGGTGATAGACAGGGATTCCTCAACTGGAAACAGAGATTTAACATAATTGTCGGCATGGCTCGTGGTCTTGCTTACCTGCATCAGGAGTTTCATGTTTGTATCATACATCGTGACATAAAATCTAGTAACATTCTGCTTGATGATGATTTCCAGCCAAGAATTGCAGATTTTGGCCTTGCACGACTTTTACCAGAGGACCAGAGTCATCTCAGCACTAAATTTGCTGGCACTTTGTATGTCTCGATATCATTATGTATTTGATTATTTTTTACTTTCAGTCATCTGAACCCATATTTTGTCTTTTGGCAAATGGGACATACATTGTTCTTTAATAAGCATTCTGCATTAATGAAAGCGGATCTCTAACAGCTCCTGATTTCAATTTCTCAAACTCTGTCATGCAGGGGATACACAGCACCTGAGTATGCAATTCATGGCCAGCTATCTGAAAAGGTTGATACCTATAGCTTCGGTGTTGTTGTCCTTGAAATAATCAGTGGCCGGAAGAGCAATGATGCACAACTGGAACCTGTTATTCAATACCTTCTTGAATGGGTAATCACTGGGCTCTCTCTAATTTTTTTATTTTTAAAATAAGAACCATGGATAATCTTTCGTTCCTATTATACCATGTAACTTGCTTGTAGTCAACTCAAATATGACAAGTAATGACACGACCTTTAGGGTTACTACAAGGCATCTCAACGGCATAACTGGTAACTGTTAAGATAATACCAATACATATGTATACATACAGCAGATATAGCTACAAAATCTCATTTACTTCCGTCCTGGGATCATCAGAAGAGATCATATGCATTTAATCTGCATTCTTTGCCTGCTAAATGTTTGTTATGAGTACTTTTCTAGGATCAGCCTTTTGTTCTGATCCTCCATTGGTTTCTTTCCTTAAACAGGCTTGGAAATTATATGAAAGCGGCGATTCGATCGATTTGGTGGACAGAAGCTTAGATCCTACTGAATATTCCCCAGAAGAAATGAAACGAATTGTCAAAATAGCTCTTCTCTGCACGCAATCCACTGTGTCTGCAAGGCCAACCATGTCCGAGGTTGTGGTTTTGCTGCTTAGCGAAGGTGACCATGACAGGCTCCAGCCAACAAGGCCTACGTTCATAGACGCCACAAGTAGGGTTCGCGGAGATGGATCGACCTCCACTGGCTCGTCTTCTACCTCCAATGCTACTGTCTCTGCATCACAGTTTTCTGCTCGCTGAAGTTCAGCAGCAGTGAAATATATGGTAACTCATGAATAAAAATGGTGTAATTCTGTATAGTATGTAGTCAAGAACGTGTATCAAATGAAACTAAGGACTGGATTGTCATGATTGGGGTACCTTAAAAAATCAAGAAAATAGTAAAAAAAATTCATATATTGTACTGTCAAGAAGCCAATGACAGAAAGAAAAAAAAAATACTTAAACAATATTTTGGTGGCTTTTATATGTGAAAATGCTAAAGGCAGAGTTTGATGTCCACAGAGTAGCTTCATATTTCCATTTAGTTAGGAGCTTATATTGTAGTATTTTGAAACGACAAGATGAGAATGCAATGCCAACATTCCATATTACATTCTCTTTGCCTCAACAGGAATCTGAGATGGATTTAGAATCTCTCTCTGTTTTCTTCAGTAAACATCCATCAATTGCGCAAAAATGTTGCTATTAATCATGAAACTGAGAAAATTCTCATTTCTAACTTGTTCTTGCCTTTGTTACTGCTACAATATGCGCATCAGAGGCTATAAACTGTTGCAGAAGGATCTGAACTCTACGAAAGAAACATATTGAAGCAACACAATATATCTTTCATTATCTTCCACTCTAATGTCACGAGGTGGTGTTTCTTTCATTTCAGTTCCACTTCCATTGAAGTTGGCAATGGAGAGGTGCAAACCTTCTGAACATGTGGATGAGAAATGATGGTGTCATTCTCATTGGAGCAAAAAACATATGCTTTGTGATGTGAAACAGATCGAGCGTAATATTCTCTGGACTTTTTTGATAAGCTACTAGATTTTATGCTTTCTTGATTCACCGCTGGAACTGACGCGAGCATCATAGGGTATTTGTCCGGAACACGCATCCTACTTGGATGATCGTCATCTCAACTTCCTTTCCAATTGCGATTCTTTGCACTTGGCTACGTAACGCGACAAAGCAACCACTTTGCTCCGAGAATTGGTGACACAAGATTCAGAAGCCTCTGCGGATGCATTTCATCGAACACTAAGAACAGAACATTCACATGGCACATTTCTTTCGGAGGCAAGTTGCTGGCAATCAATCTGCTCGAGTCATTGATGACGAGATATGCTGCCGAGCGGAACATAGGCATGGCGACAAAGTCTCAGGGTCGTGTGAAGGCGGCCGTGTACGTCCGTGGTGCGGCCTCACATGCTCGTGTCCTCCGCCGAGAGCACGAGCCTGTCCGAGCAAAACAACTGTACATGGATTGTCTTCGGAAGCAGATGGGAATTCCAATGCAAACTCGTTTGCGCAAGAACAAGAACAAGCACATGCGATAAGTACGACTGACTTAATGCGTATCCTTCAGGTGGATGCTTTGTCATATCATATAATTACATATAATCCGTTTATGTGCCTGTTCTAGGATTCATAATGAGGCTTATCAGCTTGGATTTGGCTGTTCACAGACACACACTTATCTCCGGTGAAGGTGAGCATCCTATTTACCTCACCACAAGGATCATATGAGAGAGACAGCTTGTTCTAAGAAGAGAACAAAACACGGTTACTGGTATCACAGAACAAGTGCGCTATGTTGAACGGTAAAGAAGATGGAAGAGAAATGTGGTGGCCATGGCTGAAGAAGGTGAACTCAGAGGAGGAAACAAATGAAAAGATACAGGCAATCTGGACAACTAAGCATGGCATAAGATGTCAACCAACAGTCCAAAGAAGCCAATAAAGTAGCACAGTGAGAGGATAGCGGCATCTAACAGATGTTGGACTCTGTTCTTTTTTCTGAAGCAAGTGGGGTATTGTTTGCTTCCCTGGACAAAGCGATCCCTGTTGGGAAACTATTCCAGAGGAGCTTGTCCAAATCTCTCTCTCTCTCTCTCTCTATGCATATATGTATATATATATTATACAACTGGAATATTCCATGGTAGAAGAAGAACGACATTTTGGAGGAGGGAGAGAGTGAGCGGTGATTAAAGAAGCTTGAGGTGGGCTAATCTCCTTTAAGCTTTTAGAATGCTTACCCCCTAAGGATGTTGTTGATCATGTTTCTATATGATAAAAGTATGATAAATGTGACGTTCTTTGTTCCAATTTTAATACTAGATTGTGGAATAAGAAACTAGTTCATCTAGCTCATCATTGCAGCCAATATGAGAGAGAAATTTAGATCCCTTAGGTACCTACCCAATAAGAACAATACAGCAGAGATGCATTAAACAACTATTAGAGAACAAGCAAGCTGATGAAACAAAAGAAGAATTTTACATGCTGTTACATTAGTAGTCAAAAAAGCTTGGTTTCTGTCACTGTTATGGGCTCAACAGAGACTTTGATCTCTCAAGTTGGAAAGATAATTTAATGCAGCTACTGAAGATTTTCTATATCACCATTTAAGCAGTGGCTCAAGTTTAATCTCTATGTGATTATTAATCAGGTTGGTTTCATAGACTTCTTCTGTGATGAAAGTGACAAGCCACAAAGAGAGGAGCGCCTTCATACTGATGTGATCATTAACGACTTCGATCTCATCTAACTTGTTCCTGTGGCCTTGCAACAATTCATGGCCACAAGGACACAAGCGCCTTTATAAATGACTGATGTAATCTGATTGATAGTACCTCAAATCTTGCTTGAATTGATAATAAGCATGGCCTGCAGTGCGACAGGAATGGACCATTCTTAGGTTTCTGTCACACTGTCCTGTTGGTGCTTGAAAGTTTGCAGGCTACAATTATCAACGGCCATTCATGTCATCTACCTCTGATGCTATGATCTTACGTCTTGGCTATTGTTTCGCTGGTCGAAGCAGCAGTGACAGAGAACACCTTCAAAAGCTTCAGAACTTGTGTTCATTGGCCCAATACAAAAGTTTCTGATCAACAGAGTTCTGAATAACTCCAGTGAAAAGAACAGTCGTGGAAAGGTATGCCTGCTCTTCATGTACAGATCACATTCATATTAATATGAGAGGATCCAGTGAGATCATCTGGCTCTGATAAAAGGGAAGAAGAAGAAGAACAGCAGGAGGGAAAATGTAATGAAGAGCAAACAGTGCGCAAGCTTTTCGCATGGGGCAGTCCTTGGTTACTTCAGGGCATACATGTGGTTGGAAGAATCATATTGAATGGAGTGCTTGCTATACATTGATGTCCTCTGCCCAGGGAAATAAAACTGGGACCCAGACATTTGCAGGAACATATCTGGGGACCCAAACCATTTCTCTATCTAGAGTTGGCCACACCTCAGACCCATAGGAGGAGGACCATCTTGTGGTCTATGCTGTTGTTCTTTTGGGAGTGCCATCAATCTGTTCAAGCTTGTCTTTTGAGGTAGATATTTGAATATAAATCCTTTGCCGGTCTTTGTAAGATTTTATCTCAGATCATAGTGCCTCGATTCTTCCCTGTAGTCTTTTTTGCATTTAATTCGATATGATAAATGCTAAGACAAGTGTGAGAATGGTTCAGCAACCTCAATGGACATCAAAACCACAGCTTCCCTTCATGAACACAGACTACTGATTTCTTAAAATGGTACAGAATCCAATTTAAAACAGGAGGAAGAGCAACCAAATCTTGGACATAGGAATGGTGGCAACCGCAGAGTCCACTGCAAGTGAAAAGGAAGGCTGGCACTTTCCAATTGTACAGAGCTCTCAGTTTCCAACCACACAATCTATGGACATCCTCTTGGGTGGGTGGTGGCCAATCATCATCAATGGAGCTGGGGACCCTGCCACGGTACCAGCCAGCACAGTACACTGCAAAAGATTTGGTTCCATGGCAATCCAAGTGACCTTGGTCAACAGTAACACAAGGCATCACAGGCCCTCGAGCTTGCACCTTCAACCTTCATCATCATCAACATCACAGTGGTGACAGCACTGCCCCACGCATTGGATATCAGAGGCAGTCAAAAGTGCAGGTAGATGAGAACAAGGGAAGGGATGAATGAGAGAGGTGGCTCTGTGTGGATCCTAGCAATAATATCTTTTCCTTTCTCAGAAGGTGGTGCCGAAATCACCAGTTCATGTTTATACATGAGAAGGAACTCACCACTTCATTATCTTTGCAGGAAAAGGAGAGGGGGATGCCAAGAAGAGGAAATGAGATGTTGAGGTTAGGAGATGTGAGGTGATGAGGCTCACATGCATCCTTCTCCTGCTGGATTTGGGGTCCCATTAGATTCTGCACAAGGACATGGAACTATCTTGCCCCACAGCCGTCCTATAAATGCAAATGCCCCCAACAGAAAGAGTGGAGTAAGATCTACCTCCTTCCCTTTTCACTGACAACATTGTTTGGTTCTTGTCTCCCTTCTTCCTGATCCATGTTTTACTGTGGGCCTCTTCCATCTCCCTCTTCTCCTCATTGCTTCAAGAGGTAGAAGGATGGTTCAGTGGCTGCCCTTTATATCTTGCTTCACAACCTAGCTGGCTGCCTCTCATCTCCTCCTTTCCTCTCCATTTATCCATGACTTCTCTGTCTACTCATCCTTTTCCTAGTGTTGAACAACAAATGTCTTGTACCATGGTTTTTGTGTTCCCATCATATATAAGCAAGCTTGTTATCTCCACACTGTATATGAAGGCTAATCTTTCATGTGAGAGGTATCTTCTTATGCACTTGTAGTAGAATGCCCAGGAAGAAGAAGGGCCAATGATCCACCTTACAACACACCAGCTTGGTGGAGCATGTTGAGCCTCTTCTTTTCCGCTGTTGCTCTGTTGACCCATTGAGAATATAGAAGTTGTTTCAGTTGATCAGTTCTTCGTCTCCATGGAGTTTGCTCTGTTCTGCACCAAGGTCAATATTCTCATCCTCATTCTAGCTCTGTGTTCTCCATGCAAGTTCATCCAGAGTCCAATGGACTTTGGTCCCTCAAACTTACTCGAGACCAAAAGCTCAGCCTCCTTGGACTTTGGAAGAATTGTCTTCAACTCTCCCTCTGCGGTGCTGAGGCCCCAGTCCCCCAGAGACATCTCACTCCTCCTCACCTTCCTCTCTGCTTCATCCTTCAGCAAAGTCACAATAGCGGCAAGAGGAGCTGGGCACTCCATCTATGGCCAAGCCCAAGCGCTTGATGGAATTGTTATTGAGATGGATTCAATCCCTTCTGACATATACATCCACAAGAAGAGAGATGATGGGTCTGGCTTCTCTTATGCTGATGTTGGTGGTGGTGCTCTCTGGGTGGAGCTTTTAGAGGAGAGCTTGAAGCATGGGCTGGCTCCCCGGTCTTGGACGGATTACCTTTATCTCAGCATCGGT